GCTCGCCTGAGCAGGGAGGCCACGGCTTGCTGGAGCCCCAGCCCCAGGAGGAGGCCCCCTGTGATGGCAGCACCTGTTGTGCTCTGACTCCTTCCTGGCCGTGTCCCTGCCAGGCAGCTTCTCAGCAGGCCTTCCCCATTCCTCCCATGCCTGCCAGGATGTCCCCCCAACCCGCACAGCCTCGAGCCCCTGACCTAGTTCCTCCTCCTCCAGGAAGCTTTCCCGAGCCTCACAGCCCACGTGGGGCCCTCCTCCTCCGGACTCCTCCTCCCTGGGAGCTGCAGCTGGTGGGGGAGCACCAGACACTTCAACTTGTGTGTGTGTGTGTGTGTGTGTGTGTGTTTGATTCCGCCAACTAACTGTAAGCCCTTTAGACACAGGGCTTAGGCATCAAGGCCCAGCGGAGGGTACAAGTGGCGCAGGGTTGAGGGAACACCGGGCAGATTCAGGGGGAGGCAGGCAGACCTGAGGCTGAAGAACTCAAGCCCCCCAGCAAGATGAGAGAAGGCTCTGGAGACACCAGCAGCCTGGGTGAGGACCCAGGAGGAGGCTTAGGAGGGTCACAGCAGAGGCCTGTGTGGTGTGTACCCAGCCCTGGCCACCCTCCACTCTCCTCTCTGAGAACTCTCTTCCTGATGGGGCTGAGGTGATGGAGCTGGATCCTGTTCGCACACTACACCCCTCATTCTCAACCAGGGATGATTTGGGTGGGGAGGACCCTGAAAGGCCCTCAGAGTCTCTGGAGACTCGGGCCAAGGGAGTGGCACCTCCGTTTTGGGTGTCTACCTCTGAGGAGATGTAAAGTAGCTATAGGTTGAATCTATACAGGCAGGAGCGGGAACCAGTCTGCGAGAGAGGAGGAGGAGGGTACGGAGGGAAGCCGAGCCTGGGGCACACAGTAGGCTTACAGATACTTAGGCCTCTTGTAGCCTCCAAGTCAACCTCCACTGCTTCCTGGGAGGAAGTGCTGTTAAGACCCCTCTTCATAGCGGGAAAGCCAGGCCTGAAGATCAAGCAATTTGCCCAAACACATATGGTCAGTAAGTAGTGTATCTGAACCCTGTTACCCTTGGACGTGAGTCCTCCTCCTGCCTTTGCTCTTAACAGCTTTGTAGATCCAGGATCCTGTCTGCTAAGAACTTTCTCTACATCCCACACTTCAGTTCCATGAGGTAGCACCAGACCTGCAGGCAAAGCTACTGTAATGGGGTTCTACTAACCCTACTTTCTTGTATTATCTTATCCTATCTTATCTATCCCCCCTCTCTCTCTCTCTCTCTCTCTCTCTCTCTCTCACACACACACACACACACACCAGCTAGTAGCCGTCCTCACAGTCACTGACTGAGCCCTGCCACGTGTGAGGAATCATGAACACCATTGTTCTGCCCACTGGGACAGGAGGCAATGTGTGGTGGAGACGACTGTGTGTCAAACTGTGGGGTATAAAGAAGTTAACACAGCTGGAGAGATTCCCCCAGATTCCCCTGGGAGACACTGCAAGCGCAGACGCTCGGGGATACTTTTCAGAATGGAAAATGGGCTCAGGAATCTGCTTTCCCAAAAAGCTTCCCAGGGGAGTCTGATGCAGGAATGCGCACCTTGGAGAAGACCTATGTGGGAAGTGTTGTTCAGAGAGGGGGTCAGTGAGGGCTGAGACAGTGGGGAAGACTCTCAGATGCCCCTATCAGGGGACTATCTGGGAGAGTGGCTTTCACCAGGGGTGGGTCCCCAGCATCTTTCATGATGGTGAGCCGCTTGCCAACATGGGCAGAGGGCATTTTGTAAAAAGTTAGGTAAGCAGAGACAGGCCACGGTTAGCCTCTTCCCCGCAATAGTAATGTCCCAATAGCAACAGCCGGAAGAGACCAAGGGGTCCCTGCACATTCTGCCTCTGGGGAGTGGGCGGCTGTCCACACTCACTCCCAGCGGCTGAGGGGACCTGCCATGGCAAAGAGGGAGGAGGGGTATGCAATACCTGGTGCCGCTGAAGAAGCCAAGAAAACCCAGTGCAACTAAGAAAGGGGAGACCTTGGCTGAATGAGGGCCAGAGACGTCACATCTCCTCATGAACGTGTCCTGAAGTTCATGTGCCACCTGCGTGGCAGGCAGGGCTTACTCTGTCCTCCAGCCACCCTGGCACAGAGGGGAGGCCAAGCTGCCAGCCAGCCCAGCCCCTCAGACAGGAAGAGGGGAGTGTAAGAGGCAGTGGGACATGTGTCCTGGCTTCTTCCTGGAAGGGACAAAGCCTCCAATTCCCCAGGGGGAGAAATTTGTCTTCTTACTACAGAGGAGTCTCCAGCCTCCCTCCCAGCACATTGCTCTGTCCAGTTCACCCCTAAAACTCTGGGCCTGGACGGGACAGTACGGGGACTCAGCCGGAGGGCTCCAGGCCCCGACTCCATTTCCAGAGCTCCTGGCTGCACCCTGGGCTCCGCACCCCAGGTGTTCCCCTCCTCAGCCTCCCTCCAGGTCTTCAGCAGAACACCACGCCCTGCCTCCACGGCTGCCCCTGGGGCCCTTTGTCCCTCTCCTTCCTTATTAGCAAATGTGAGAAGAGAAGGAATTCTTTTTGCCGGTTCCCTCCTCGGAACAGGAACAGCCTCCACTTGAAGAACTCGCTGGAGGTGTGGAGAGACGCTGCGCTTGCCAGGAGGGCCCAAGTGGCTATTTTAATCTTGTGGAACAGCCCCCTCTTCATGGAAAATTTTCTACTCCAACACCTGCGGCACTAAAGACGCGGCTCTTTCTGCGCTCGGCTCCCTGGGGCCACACTCAGCTGGGGCTGGCTGCCAGCTCAGGTAATTATTCCTGCCGCCCTGCCCTTCCCCAGCCCTCCCAGCTCAGCCGCCTTCCTGGGGAGCACTTCGGCCGGCCTTCCCTCCTCTCCGGGGTCTCTGGAAGAAACCCTGGCAGCAGAGGCCCCCTCCCCAGCACCAGCGGCCTCTCTGGGCTTCTTGGGTCAGGCCTGCCCTGCTTTGGGCTCCCTCTGTCTCCTTACTGACGTCATCTGGAAGCTGAAAAGTCACCTCGGGCATGACTTTTCTAAGACTGAGCACATGAGCTTCTCTGGGGTTCCCATGGTACCCAACTCTATAGGGACCGTGGAACAACGTGGTGCCCTGTTCTTCAACCCAAACCTGGTCCACTTTGTGCTTCTGAGCTCATTGACTAGGACCAAACAAGCCGTGTTGCAGGCCAGAAATCTGGGAGTCATTCTTGATACTTCTTGTGTCTCTGTCCCCTGCCAAGTGCCATCCATCACCTGACCATACCCCCCTTTTGTTCTCACTACCACCATCTCTGGCAGCAGTGGCAGAGGACCTGCCCACACTCCAGCATTAGCCCATCAGCTGGAGGACAGCGTAGAAATGGGGGCAAGAGTCAGGTGGAGACTTGAGGTGGAGACGTTCTAGCTCATGGTCTAGAATGTGGGTGCCATCCCCGTAGGACGGTGTGTTCTATGAAAGCCCGTCAGGTAAAGAAAGCTAAGACGGTACCAACGCATCTTGACTGCAGTTCAACCAACACAGACTGCACTAAGTTGTTTGGAATGGTAGGTGGCATCCAGCTAGGCAAGTAGCTGATCTTCTGTGTTCAGGGCTCTGCTTTTTCTGAAAGGCTATTTATATGTGCAGTAGTGATTTAAAAAAAAAAATTGAAAGTAATACCCAAAACAATGAAAAAAATAATAACTTTCAAGATGATTAAAATTCCCCCTGATTATTATTCAAATGTGAAACTGATTACCAGAAGGCAGGGGGCATAGCTAATTAGTCTTTGCATCACCCAGGGTACCCACAATATATGAGACTCTGCTCTTAATCCATTTGTCAAGTGCTGGAAAATGTCAAGCAGAAATCAATGACAGACAGAGGACACACTACTGCTGACCCAATGTCCGAATTTCTCCAGGCCCAGACTTCTCGTCCCTCTGCCGATTGAGTTCTTGCTAGAACAACACCTTTACTGATGACCGGGGGGATTCACTGAAGCCAGGCAGCTCCAGGTGTGGGGCTTGTGGGAGGGGAACTCTGGCAGCCACGTCTCTGTGGCCTGGACCCTCAGGCTGGGCATTCTAAGCATTTTTACAGGGGAGCTCACTAAAATGTTTCAGGTCCCACTCCAAGCATAAACGTAAATTTGAGCTCCCTCTTCTCTATTTGGCAGAAGAGTAAAGTGAGGCCCAGAGAGAGGATGTGGGTTGCAAAGGACACCTACAGAGTTGGTGGCAAATCCAGCAAATCCGGATCTCTAGGTTCTTCCTGTAAGAATCCTTTTGCAGATACCTTCTGCCTTGGCTTGGGTGAATATCAACAATTACAGAAACACTTTTTTGAATTAAAAAAAAAATGAATGAGTTGGGCACAGTGGTGCACGCAACTCAGGAAGCTGACACAGGAGGATCACAAGTTTGAGGCCAGCCTGGACAACTTAGTAAGACCCTGTCTCAAAATAAACAATAAAAAGGGCGAGGGGTGTAGCTCAGTGGTAGAGTGTTTGCCCAGCATGCATGAAGCCCTGGTTCAATCCCCAGTAACACAGTAACATACAGGCAAACTTACACACACGAGTTGAATATTAATCCACCAAAATAATATTGAAACAGAAAAATGAAGTTGGAGGGTTCACACTTTGCAATTTTGAAGCCAACGACAAACTAACAGTAATCAAGATATTGTGGTGCTCATAAAAGATATATAGACCAAAGGAATAGAGTTGAACTAAGATAAACCAGAAATAAATGCATACACCTGTACTAATTGATTTTCAACAAAGATGCCAAGACCTTTCAATGGGGGAAAGAAGAATCCCCTCAACAAACAGTGCTGGGACAACTGGATATTCACAGGCAAACAGGGTGAAGTTGGACCCCTACCATGCAAATCTTTTAGAAAAAAACACTGGTTTAAAACATCATGAACCTGGATTTGGCAATGGATTCTTTGATATGACACCAACAGATTTGAGCAACAAAAGAAAAAAGATATTGGACTTACCAAAATTAAAAACTTTTGCTGGGCACAGTGATGCATTCCTGTAGTTCCAGCTATTTGGGAAGCTCAGAAAGGAGGATCACTTGAGTCCAGTAGTCCAAGACCATAGTGAGGACCATAGTGAGACCCCATCTCAAAAAACCCAGAAAAACAATAACAAACCAAAAAACTTTTGTGCACCAGAATGTGAAAAAACAACCTACAATATGGGAGAAAATATTTGTAAGTCATATACCTGATACAAGTCTACTATCTAGAATATATAAAGAATTTTTGCAACTCAACACCAAAAAGAGATAATCAGTCTACAAATTGGAAAAGGACCTGAGTAGGTATTTCTTCAAAGAAAGTATGCAGTGGCCAAGAAGCACTGAAATGACGTTCTGCATCACTAGCCATTAGGGAAATGCAAGTAAAAACCACAATAAGATATCAGTTCATACCCACAACGTTGGCTACGGTCATAATAATATTTTTAAAGAAACATAACATGTATTGGTGAGGACGTGGAAACATTCTATCTATTATCCATAACTGGTGGGAATGTAAAGTGGTTCACCCACTATGGAAGGTAATATGGTGGGCTCAATATATTAAGCATAGAATTACCCTGTGATCTGGAAATTCCACTCCTAGGTATATGCCCCAAATAATTATAAACCCTCAACCAAACACACACCCATCCAGACACACACCAAACACTGCGTTCACAGCAGCACCACTTACTTTAGCTCACAGATGGCAACAGCTCAAGTGTCCATCAACAGATGAGTAAATACAAAATGTGGAAGAGATGTGCTGCTGAGTATCATTCAGTCATAAACAGCAATGACGCCCTGCCGCGCCAGGACACGGATGAGCCTTGAAAACTGTGCGCTAAGTGAAGGGAGCCAGTCACAAAGGGTCGGTTATGACGTGGCTCCATTTATGAGAAATGTCCAGGACAGGTAAATCCATGGAGACAGAAAGCATGCTGGCGTGCGTGAGGGGCTTGGTGAACAGGGAAGGGAAGTAGCCAGACAGTGAGTGCGGCGTTTTCTGAGGTGACGAAAATGTTTTGAAACTTGAGAGTGATGATGATCGTGATTGTGCAACTCTGTGAGTGTACTAAAGACCAGTCAGGATACACTTCAAAGTGGTTTATGTTATGCAAATTTCACCTTAATCTAAAAAATTATTAGCTAATTAAGTATTAATTGAACCATGATAAAGTATAATAATAAACAATGCAATATAATTATATCAATATAATTTATGAATACATTATATTAATTTATCTATAATCACCAACAAATTATAATAAATCAATTGATTAAGTTTATTAATTTAAAAATTTATTCAGAAAGTCATTGAGATGGGGGAAATATTAAAAACCTACATTGGGTCACTTGGAGAGAAGAAACTACTGACTGACAGCTTTTCACATCACAGCCACTACAAGAAAAATCAATGTGTGTCCCCACCACAACCAGAGCACACCAATTTCAAAACACCCCTGTTGAGCAACAGCATCACCAACTTCCCCAACCAGAGGTCAGCTGGGCTGGCTGAGATCTTTCCTGTCTTGGAGATGTGTCCCTGCCTCCAAGCAGCCAGGTCCCTTTTGACCCAGCTTCACTGGGTTATGAATATCACAGCACTGGGCGGGAACTGGGGCTGGGGGTGTGGTGGGCTGAGCAGGGAGGGCTCTCCTGGACCCCAGCTGCCACAGGCAGCAGGTTGGCTGTGGTTGGAGGGGCCACTTTTGTCAGCTGGCCAAGGGCTGGTTAGAAATCCAGGGATGAGCAGCTGAAGTGTTTGGTAGGGGAGGCCCTGACAGCAAAGCTAGAACCGAATCCACCCAAAGGCCACTGCCACCAGGTTTCCCACGGGGCTCAGGAATCAGTAGCAGAAATGTTGGTGACGAAGGCTAAAGGAAGTGTGTGTCCCTGGATGGTGCAGTCTGCTAGCAGATAAAAGGAGACCTTATTCATTATAGGTATTACCAGGTGCCCGGCAGGGCTGGTGGACACAGACAAGGCCGTGAGTGAAGGCTGAAGGCTGGACCTGGATGGAGACAGCATCGGGGATGTCTGAAACGTCATGGGTCCTATCTAGCAGCTTGGGTAGACAGGGTGATGTTTCCTACCTTAACCAGCTCACCACCAAGCTCACTGGATGGTTCTGCCTCGCTCCTGCAGCCTTTGAGAGCCCCTGTTGGCCTGGGTAAGTCTGGCTCATCCTGTTTCTCCACAGAACCTCTTCTGCTGCTTTATTCGTGAGAAGCCTAGCACGTGGCTGACTTTGTCGACCAGCAAGCTTCCTAGGGCAAACTCTCACCCAGCTCTGGTGGGGATCAAGCACTCAGGCCTTAGGGATGGCTCGCAGCCTAGACCAGTCCAGTCAAAATCTCTTGTCACTCCCCTCTGCCCACACTGACTGGTTCAGATGTGGGCATGTGTGCTGGGCACAGCCGGTCAGAATCCTCCCACAGATTGACACATGGACCCTGGAAGAGCCTTCCTGTGGGAGCCTGAGCTGTGAGGACTTGGGGTTCCATAGCCATGCTTCCCTGGGGCTTGAGAGCCTGGTGTGCGTCTCAGTACCACTGGAGAGGCAAGGAAAGGCGGATATGGAAAGAACAGACACTGGATGATGTCGTCTTGCCTGAAATCATTATGACTCAGACTGCCCCGATACAGGGCCCTCGATCTTTCTCTCTTCCCATTTAGGATCACATGGAATGGGCTTTTTTTCCTCTCATACCCAACAGTCTTGACTGGTATAGCAGCTGGATCTTTGGTGAGGGGTCCCTATTTTGAACACTATGTGGCAGTGGAAGGAATCTGTCTTAAGGAGATCCCATGGTTTTGGTGTGAGATAGTCCTGTGGTCTGCTGTGATTTCAGAGATTTATTCATAACTGGGCACTTGGAGAGAGGCGACAAATGCGAGGAGCTTGGAGTCATCAAACAAAATCCCTGGAGGATAGTGCTGAGCTCAGCCCCAGCCATCAGGAGAGAGAGCTGAGCAGGCGCAGGAAGAGTGAGGGCCAGCCTGGGCAGCAGGACCCGGTGAAGAAGGCCCAGGTGAGGAGAGGCCAGGCCAGGGGCCAGGATGGCGTCTGTCTCCCCCACCCTCCATCCACCCGTTTTGCAGGCGAGGCGGCATGCCACCTGCCGAGGTGACAACAGAGGGTCCAATGACGTTGTTCCAGCCCTCACAGTGTCTAGCGGAGAAGAGAGAGATTAGGGAAGCAGCTGAAGAGCAGAAATTCATGGTGGCATGGAGCAAGCGATAGGAGTACCTCACCGTCAGGGGGTTGAGGGAGGCTTCCTTGAAGAAGTGATATTTAAATCCACGTAGATATGAACGCTTAGATGTAAGAACCATGTTTGAATCTACATCTTGTAGGACAAAAATGGGCAGCAGCACAATCACAGTGTGTGGTCATTCTCAGATCCCACGCCTGACATATAGAACACATTTAGCAATTGTAGCTATTGCAAATACCCATGATTTCTGGATTAAGCAGAGAAGGGCTGCTAACTGCCACTTGTTCTCATGTTAATAATTTTGTCTCCTGTTTTGATCGAAAAGGATGGAGGTGTCTGGAATGTAGATATGCAGATGGTGAAAAAGAGGGTGACCACTTTTGTTTGGGAGGCCCCTTGGTTTCTGCAGCTGTCCGGTGAACATGCATTGATTGAGTGGCCACCCAGCCGTGCAAACTCTTTGTCCTGGTCTCTGAAAACATGTCTTTGATTCCATGTAAACAGTCCTCTAGCCACTTTTTTGATAATAAGCCATATGTGGTCAGGAGCTATCTATTTTCAGTCTAATTAAACAAACTGCAGATATTTATTAAGTGCCAACTATGTGCCAAGGCTGGTCCAGGCACTAAAGACAGGGGGACGGAAGGCATATCGCTGCAAGAGTCCTGGGAGGAAGAGAGGCAAGTGAGGTAGGTTCACTGCAGGGAGTGACAGATTTTTGGAATGCTGGAGAAGCAGAGGAAGGAGGGGTTGATTCTTCCTGGGGAAGGGGCTAAGGCGTAGCCACAAGCAGATGTGACTTTCAAGGAGGTGGACATCCCTAAGGTGGCAACAGTATTCCTAGTTAGACACCCTGTGGCCAAAGTCTGGAGATTTCAGTGGCCTCCTTGTCTTGTGTGGGGACTTTTTTAGGAAGAGGAGGAAATCAGACTGGAGCAGCAGATGGTGTGGATGGTTAGCAGAGTCTGGACTATGACGGTAAGGAGATCCTGACAGGTTTGAGTCAGGATTTGAGGTGAGTAGAGGGCATTCTGGAAAGATGACGTGGATGTGTGAGGAGTGGACCAGGCAAGCTGGGGTTGAAGGACAGCGGGGGCTATAGAAACAGCTCTGATGAGACGTAGTGTTGGCCTGAGCCAGTTGGATGGCAGGTGAGGGTTTCCAGGAGGTTTGGATGGAAGTTGGCCAGATGTTCCAAGAGATCAGACGTGAGGCTGGAGGAATCGAGGTGCTGACAGGTCCAAGTGCATTTCATCCACTTACCTGGGGCATGTGTCCCCTCTGCTTTTCCATGAGCCTCAGGACGTTTAGGAGGGAAGGAGGTAGGAGGGGAGGGGGCAGGAATGGGGCAGAGATGAGAGGCCAGCTGCACCCTGATTCCCTGCAGGAACAAGAGCAGGGAGGCTGGGTGGTGCACACAGGTAGAGTCCCTCTCCTGAGGTGTGCAGAGTGCCGCTCTGGGAGGAAAGCAATGGGTCCAGGAACCAAGAGGCATGACCAGACCCTGGCACGTAAATGTCGGGGATTCTAGGAAACTTCCAGATGGGCAGCTGCTTCTCTGCAGGTTTCTATGGGCTTAGCTGCAGAAGAGGACAAAACACTAGTAACAGTCTTGTCTTATCCATTTTCTCCCTTCTTCTAAAGTTAAAAAACAACCTCAAAATTCTCAAACTACAATTTCAAATGTACAAAACCAGGCAATTAGGCTTGCATATTGTAAAGGGAATCCCTGAGAATTGAAAAATACTATGAACTCTCCAGTTACAACTCACATTTAAGCACAATGTTCATTGATGTGTGTCCAGCATTTTGTACCTGCTTCCGATTCTGCTGTCTTCCTCCACGAGAACACAGTGGCCGTCAATCCAACGTGCCTCAGCTTGAAGCAGAAGAGCAGTTACTCCTGTGGCCCCTTGTCTCAGCTGAATGACGCCGTTCCCTCGGCCTAATCCTTCTTATCACTAGTACCAGCACTTTTGTTTTTGTTTTCTATTTAATTGGAGAGAAGGAAAACGTGTTAATTTAATACAAATAGTAAGTTAATAAGCACCAATAAACAAAGTTGGAGGGAGACCCTAACACAGGCAACCTGCCTGCAGCCAGGCAGCACCACCATGCCAGAGTTCAGAGTTCCTTCCAGAAATGCCATGCCATGGGTTCAGATACGTGTGTAGGGGAGAGCTCATAAATGTCAGTGTATGAACTCGCGGTATGTGACCACCAGCTACCTAAAATTGAGGACCACGTGGCTTTCATTTACAGATCTCTTTATGTAAAACTCTCTTCCACTTCTTCCCTTAAAAATGTGAGTGGGCTAGTTAAGGCTCCCATTTGTGAAAGGTGAGCACTTCACCCTACTGTGTCAGCCAGTGGAGGGGGAAAGAAACAGGAAGAGCAGAGAGTGATTCCTGAAAGACGGAAGTAACACCCTGTGAGCAGCAGATGGAAACGTCAACTAGGACGAATACATTTAAGACACAGCCTTAACGAAATAAGACTGGAAAGCTCTGGAACAGCTGCAATCAGAGAATAGGAAAGACTCTTAGAATCAAAATAAAGTAAGGGGAAAATAAAAGAACTTCACAGGACAGTGTGAAGATAAAGCTGAAAAAAATCTCCCCAAAGTAGATAAGACAAAGAAATAGAAAATAGGAGATGGAAGAGGAGACTTGAGGAGTGTCATCTAAGAGTTCAACATCCAGTGAATAGAAGTTCTGGGAAGAAAACAGACGAGGTGGGGAAAGTAAGCATTAGCTAAGAAATAATAAGTGAATTTTCCCTA